CGGCCCCGGCGCTGCTCCTGCTCCTCGCTGCTGGATGAGGAGTGCGTCTACTTCTGCCACCTCGACATCATCTGGATCAACACACCCGAGTGAGTGGATGGCGGGGGGGAAGATTCGGCTGTTGCCCGTCGCTGGGGTTCCCTTTGCCCGGAGAAAGGCAGGGGGGAAAGGGAAGGGGGGCTTAAGAAGGATAGACTCCCCGTAGAAATGGGAAGGGGAGGAAGGAATAAGTATTTGCACCATCTCTCCTATTGCTTCCCCCCACTCCTGCCTTTCTGCTGAGTGTTCTGTTCTGCTTCTGCTCGCTGGGAGACAGTAAGCGAGATGTGACCACCCGGATGGAGCAGGTAGCTGCGGACAGTCCTAGCACACCTGCATTCCTAAAATCCGGCCAGGAGCATTTCCTCCGGGTGCTGCTCAGCAGGGGCTGCGGGACACTTTTCACTGTGAATCAGAAGCAGACCCAAAACCAGAAGGATTGTTTTGCCAGTTTTCCAGCAAGTTAGGAAGCTAGAAGGCTTTACCCTGACACGGGCTGGCTCCTCGCTGCCTCTTGCTGCTCTCTGCTGCAAATTCATGTATCCTGGATGTTAACAGGGTTAAGTACAGGGTCCATTTCTAAGCTTTCCTCACCAAAAAGTAGTGAGCTAGAGCTGCGAGCACTGACTTTGTGATTTGTTCTGCTGCTGGGTTTCCTCGGAGCAGAGAGGATCTCTTCCTCACTTTGATTGCTTCTTTCAGTATTGGCAGTTACCAAAGTTCGGAGATGAAGTTTTATTGTTCTATATTGCCCAGGGAGGCATGGCAGCCTTATGAAATCACAACTGAAAGGTCATTAGCCTTGTCAGTAGCCACACTAATGAATACGTTGCAGGGTCATCAGAGGCATTTGTGTGGAAATGACAAGCAGGGAGGCATTCCCAGTCCCACAGCCTTTCCTCACCCATTCAACCCCATTGATAAGATTGCCCCCAAATACCCTGCTGCTTTGAAACAGGAGGATCATTTGAATGACTTTCATGTTGCCTCTTTGCTCGTAGGAAGACTGTTCCGTATGGTCTCGGGGGTCCTTCTCGGTCCCGGAGATCGCTGAAAGACGTGGTGCCAGAGACGCTGGCCGAGCCGAGCAGCAGATGCCGATGTGCCAACCACAAGGACAAGAAGTGCCTGAACTTCTGCCAGACGGGAAAAGATCTCTGGTGCGTCTTGTTGTTGCTACCCTTTAAAAGGCAGTGCACGTCGAAGGGACGGACTGTGGTGCGCTTACTCACTGTGGCACTTGCTGAGCGAACCATCTCCCCAGAGCCTTGGCTCCTACCTGGGTGCTCACACTGCTGTGGTACCTCCCATGGTTTGGCTCAGAGAGATCTCTTACTGCATGCTTTGGTGGATGAGGTGCCTCACCTTGTGGGCTGCAGACTCAGAGTTAGGGTTGGGCTCAGACTCAGACTCAGGGCTGGTTTCTTTTAACAGTGGTGTGATTTCCCTTTTAACAGGGCTCAGTCCACAGCGGAGAAAACCTCGCGTGGCCGCAACAAAGCTGGGAATTGCATCGGACCCGAATGCATGAGCCGACAGCCCGTTGAGAGCAGGAAAATGAGGCGGTGAGTTTCCTCTCATCCTCTTGTAGTTCCCCCCTGCAGCAATAGAGACCACAGTTCACCTGCCTTCGGGCCAGTGTGGGCTTAGCTGATGATTTCAGCTGGAGACTCACAGAGGAATCAGTGAGTGTATCTTGAGGGGGTGGTTTTTTTTTTCATTCGGTGGGTTCTTAGCCAGGGCAGACATAGGTACTTAGTTCTGCCTAGCATCCTCCATTTACTTAGAGGAAATGGACTTAATTATAGGCCTAAAGATACACCAAACTTCAAAAGAGTATGAAATCATTAAATACTGGCAGAAATAAATAAAGCCTGTAGTTTTAGTGTGTTCGTGCACTGTCTTAACTCATAAAAACCACTACACCTCAGCTATTCTAAAATGAAACTGAGTCAGAAGTCATTTTCTTAGATACTTTACTCCATTTTGCTGCACAAAAAAACCCTTATTGATCTATCCATATTGTGAATATATTTTGTTTTCTGGCTGGTGTGTCTGGCTTTTTAAAATGCAGGAGGCAGATTTCTACCTGCCTTCTTTCTTGCATTGCCCAATAAACCTGTGTAAAATGAGTACGGGATGTCAGCGATGGAAATGACTGGAAAAAAAGGTTGAGGAAAGGGAAAACAAAGACTTAAATTAGTGTTGGAGCCCAATTTAATATTTGAGCTTAGCAGTAAATTTCAGGACTGCCCTTTGAGGTCTGTGCATAATAAGTAGAGTGGCAGGAGGCAGCAGAATCATTCTATGGTGCAGTTCAGAGATGGGTGCACTGGGCTTGGTGCAGCTGTGAACCCCACAGAGGGGAAGTCAGTTTTGAAGATGAGTTTGAGTACAGCTGTATCAGCTGTGGCACTCTGTGTTTGACCCTATGCCCACGTGAAAGTATGGCATAGAGAAACTTGCCCATACAAAAGAAGACTCTTTAGTGCTACTTTCAAAAGCAGAACAGGATCTATGGGAGCAGGCAGCCTCACAATTCTGAGTGAGACATAGGCCCTGGAAAGAGGTAATTTAAAAAAAATGGGGCTCAATTACTTACTTGAAATTCCTCCATTCATTAGAACCAGGATCCTGTTTACCTAAAAGAAACAAAACAGCCAAAAAGAATAACACTAAAGACCTCTTGATGGGATTAATGCTATTTAAGGAAGTCTGGGGCATCTATATTTGAATGAATATTTTAACTTATTTTAATATTCTCATTTAAATTCTGAATCCAATATTTCAAGTGGCTTAAGTTAGCCTAATTCTGTCAGAAGTACAGCAATCAGCAGTTTCTGAGGTTTTCGTGTCAGAATTCTAGACTGATCCTTATATAATAAAAAACTGAATCTCTGCAGACGCATCTTCATTATTGTAACAATAAATCTATATTTCTTATTTTTGCAGGCTGGAAGCCATTGGTAACAGTATCAAAGCTTCCTTCAGTATTGCTAAGTTGAAGGCTGAGCTCCAGAAAGGGTGGAAGCTGAAACATAACAGGGCGAACAAAAGGCAAAGCATCTGGGAAAGCCTGAAAGCGTCCTAGTGGGAAGATCACCTGAACCTTTTAGCATCACACTTGCCGACAAAGTGCCACCAAAACTCTCTTTTTTGACTTCTAACATTCCACTACAGCAAAGGGCCTCTCTGTCCACCTGTTTGCACAGCAGAGCAATGCATTGAGGAAGTCCTGTATTTGGAGGTATAAGAGCGAAGAATTTTGTCATTTCGGAGTTGAGATGGATGGGGAGAGGGGGCGAAGGGGAACCCTCTGCAATGTGCATTTAAAGCCATCTTTCTGAGGACATAGTTGAATATTGCTTCTGGAACGTGACCCATAAATTGGGCAGCTTTCAGGGTCTACATCAAATGCATCTTGCAAGGAAGACCTCACAGATGTGCCTAGAAAGGACAGAGAGCAGGATCTGAGCGGACAAACCTCAAAGCAAAAAACTCTTACCTTTTGATTAAAATGCAAAAATGAAAGCCACAGTGCTACTTTAATCAGGACTTACTGCATATATACATGTCTACCTCGCATACTGTTTGTTGCACTCCTGCTAGAGTATTTTTACACCTTGTTATTGCCTTTACTAATCAGCTGCAACCCTTTGCCTTTTTTCAGAAGTCTAGTTTACTTGTACAACCATAGTTATCTGAACGCGGGTTAGACTCTGTGGTTGTTTGCATAGTCAAAGTCCTTTGGTTTTGGATACCAAAGGACTCTTCAACATAAAATAAAAGCTAGAGGACACTACTGGGTTTACCATAACAAGGATATTTGGCTAACTGAAGTTCTAAAAATAGAGGTTGTTGTGTCTTAAGTGCCACCAAAAATGCACTGAAGTGGGGATGTACCAGAGGCTGTTGTGAGATTTATCCAGTACCTTGTTTGGTGGAAATGCATTGAGACAAAGGGTTGTTTTGAATTATGTCAAAAGGCTAATATTGGGTGAATGTTTATAGCAGTTAATTTGTTCACATTGTTGAATTTGCTGACAGGTTGAATCTTATGTGCTTATTTTTTGTGTTTTGTATTTATATTCACACAAGTTCTTCATTATATTTACCATGTTGAATACACATTGAAGTAGGCCATATTGGTCTATGCAAGTTTTACATATTTCTGTATGAAATTGGGAAATGCTTTATGCCTATCAAGGTAAATATCTTCAGAAATAAATATTTTTCATTACTGTATTGCCTTGTTTTTTTCCTATTTCTTGCTTTTCCATAGGCTATGGCTCCATGCTCATGGAGGTAGATTGCCTCATGTATGAAGCTGATGTAGTGTTTGCCTTTGTCTTTCTGTCATGTTAGCCAGGTGACAACACAGAAAGTTTATGCCAGATGTGAGACAACAGATGATACTTGTTCTAGCTTCAAGTTTCCTCATCAAAACTTCATGGTGAAATTTGAATTGACCAAATTAATTTATCCTGGAGCAGCATTCTCACATGTCTGGTGCCTTTTTAAATCCAGTAGTACAAACTCTAATGTTTTATTTACTGTGCCATTAAAATATGGCCAATGAGGGGTTGGAAATAGATGAACTGGAGGAGAAAATGCACACACTAGATGCTTTGTGGGATGTATTGGACTAGGCAGCATGATGTTATTTACTGCTGTGCTATCCTAAAAGTCTTGGCCCAGCCCATGCAAGTTGAAGATGGAGACCTCAGTGGAGCCTGGCTCAAGCCTGGGAAAGAGCTAGAGCAATAGTCATACTTGGCATGTCTTCAAACATTGGCCTAAAGTGGTTATAGCTGGAAAGATGCTTCAATGTATTTAATAATCTCTGATCCTATAGGAAAAAAAAAAGTACAAGAGTTAGTCTATAGATAAAACTGAGTGTTTTGGATTTTTTTAAAAACAAACTTCTACAAACAAATGCAATATAAGGTGTCCTGCACTTAGAACCACTGACAGCAGTCACTGTTAAATTCCTGAAATTGTCTGGCAATTGCCTGGTTCTTGTGACTATTCATTTGTTTGCAACATTTTTCATATCCAAACACTATAAGGCTAGATAAAGCCCACACCATGTTTCCTTCAGGCTGTTCTGGTACATTTTGGGGCAGTAACTCAGTAAAAGGATGACAGTGCTGGCAGCCTGGGTCTGACAGGGGAGCCTGGCCATGGCAGCAGGAAGGCACTGAGATCCCCTGTCATTTTCCAGGGCAGGATGTGGCCCCCAGAGCCTCCCTTGGGTCTTTGTGCAGCCCGTGTCAAGTGCTCGGGACATGTGCAGATTGGTAACCTCATGTCAGGTGTGAAGAGACCTCATTAGCACTCCTTGGTTTTCCATTTCTTCCCTTACTGGTGGGTGCCTTTGACAGGGTATTAAAGAAGCAGGTAATCAAGGTGCTGCCTCTCACCCAGCCTAAGCAGCAGGTGAGCAGGTAGTGTGGGGTGCCCCTGCTAGAAAAGGGACCACACATTGGCTTCCCTGTCCCCATTGCTCTTGCTTTCTTTCTCAGG